CAAAGAGGAGCTGGGCAGCCTGGACGCCTGGGCTCTGTCCCCAGCCCTGACTCATGCGTGCTGGGTGGCCGGGCAGGTGACAGTAGTTTCACTCTGTCTCTCCAGCCAGGCGAAGGCGACTGGGCTATGATTCGGGGGCTGAGGGGTGCTTGCAAAGGGGCACAGTTCATTGCCAACCCCTCCGGGGATGGGGTCCGAGATCCCCCAGGCCCCCCCGGCGGAGATGGGAAGCAGGGCGCTCTGCTTGCCCGAGGGGGTGACGCAGGGACCCCGATGTGCCAGCGCAGTCTGACCACGCTGGGCCTGCTGCCCTGCCACTGACCGTCCACTTGTGCACTGAGTTCCCCCATGCTCAGCCTCAGTTGTCTGTGAGAGAACTGGGGGTTTCACAAAGTTTCCCGGGGGGAAGCGAGTGTTTCAGCCCCCGGCTTGGGCCAAGAGGCCGAGGGGGAAGTGCCTGGAGAGGGAGTTACCCAGCAGGGAGGGGAAGAGGACAAAAGCCAGGCGCAACCGGCAGCATCCTCCTAGCTCAGCTCCTCTTGTCCAGCTGCCTCCAGCGCGGAAAGAGCTTCTTGCCTGCAGAATTGGCTGCTCCACTGGGTCTGTCTGGATGGTGAAAGAGGGAAAAAAATCTCATGACTCTCGCCAAAGCCATGGGGAAAGGGGAGTGTGGGCCTGCAGCAGAAGAGGACCTGTGCAGGGTTGCTCAGCATCTTGCAGCAGGAGCCTGGTTTAAGAGCTTGGCAGGAGGCGGGAACAGCAGGATGGGAAGGATAGAGCTGTGGGACTAGGTGCCAGGGGAGGCTGGGACCAAGCCTTGCCGGGACATCACGCATCATCGCCAAGCCGGCCAGGAGCTGGAGGGATGGGAAATGCTCTCCACGTGGGTAACACGTCCTCCCTCCTTGCAGGCCAGGATGGCTTCTCAGCTCTGACCAGGGAGGCCAGTGCCGTGCTGAAGGTCCATGTCCAAGTGATGGTGGGACCGGGCTTGGGGACCTGCAGCGAGGATGTCCGAAGCCAAGACCCTGAGCTACTCCTGCCTCTTGCTTTCCTTGCTCTCTTTGCACTGGGCTTTGCTCCAGCTGGGCCAGGCTTTTCCCAGCACGTCTGACTACCTGCAGCGGGGCTGGCAACGGCTGCTGGAAGAAGGGGAGGGCTGTGCTGAGTGCCGGCCGGAGGAGTGCCCCGTGCCGCGCGGGTGCCTGGCTGGCACGGTGCGGGACGCCTGCGACTGCTGTTGGGAGTGTGCCAACCTGGAGGGACAGATCTGTGACCTGGACAACACCAACCACTTCTATGGCAAGTGCGGGGAGCACCTGGAGTGCCGGCTGGACGCCGGGGACCTGCGGCGCGGCGGAGAGGTGCCCGAGCCCCAGTGCGCCTGCCTCTCCCGCTTGGCCCTGTGCGGCTCCGACGGGAAAACCTATGCCCAGATCTGCAGGTTCCTGGAGGTCGCCCATGCCCACCCTGACGCCAACCTCACCGTGGCTCACGAGGGCCCCTGCGAATCAGGTAGCGGCCGGAGCTGCTGGGGAAGTGGGAGGGAGGCTCGTGTCTCAGGGCAGCATCCCCTTCCTGTAGCAATGTGGGATCTGGCATCTCCAGCTGTGGGGGGGAGATGTGGCATCTCCAGATGTGGGGGGAGACCTGGCATCTCCAGATGTGCGCGGGTGCCTGGGCTGCCTCCCCTGGGGCTGCTCCTGGCTCTCAGGAAGGGATGAGCAGGAGGAACTGATCGAAATATTTCACCTGGTGGCAAAGCATC